GAAAAGCAGTTTATCTCAAATCGCTGCTTTGCCTAAAGTAGTCCTTCAACCAGGTATTGTGTTGGATTTTTTTTTTTAATTCAGCACACTCAGCTATTTTAGCTCTTTGGTGGATTAAGTTCAACTGTACAATGGTATGTTGTTTTTCATTTGTGTTGCAATAGTGTTTGCAGGCTCAAGTAAGATAGAGGCCTTTTCTACAAGAGATGCTGTACAAATGCATTGTAAAAGACAATTCGAGCCCTTAAGAGTTCATAGCCCTAACAGACAGCAAATGAAAGCTAGCAAGGGAAACAATGGTGAGGAGGTTTGAAGCAGCTTTCCAGGGTCACAGAACAGAGGATCAGTGGGTGTAGGCATGGGAATAAGACAAGTGCCCTGTCCATGAAACTGTAATGACTTCTTTACTAAACAGATTAGATCTAAAGTATGTTCACAATTCTATAATGTAGATGGTGTCTGTTCTTGCAGTCTTAAACTGAGGTTATTAAAGACTATTTTGCAGGCAGCAATGGAACTGCTCTGACAATCTTGTTGAAACAAGCAGGATAGTATGAAGCATAGCATGGGATCATTAGCTTCTTTTGCTTTCCTGAGTGTGAGGAAACTCACACGCTGATATTCATGTTGGGGTCACTGTTCAGCAGGCATAAACCAGCATAGTACTATTGATTATTATCTTTTTCTGAGAATTGTTCTCATATATTAGTTGTGAATCCTGCTGTTTGTACTGATTTCAGTATTATGATTTTTAGCATTTATAATATATTTTAGTATGCATCTTTATATATGCTAGATGCTTATCAGTATCTTTGATTTGTTAATGATATTTTATCTTATTAGGACTTAAACATCAGCTATTAGATGAGCTTCAAACTTTCTTTCAGTACCTCCATCCTCTTCCATATTTTCAACATCATTTAACAAAAGCTTTGTGTATGTTTATACCTGACCCGCTGGGATCTGGAAGTCCATTCCATCCCCAATTTTTTCCATAGCCCAACATCAACATATGTTCCACAGTTTCAGACATAGATGGAAAATTTGCAGTAAATGAAGAACTGAAATGTAGCCCCACTCTCTTTCACAGTCAGTTAGAGCAGCCCCTGCAAAAGACCCCAGGGAGTTTGAAAATCACGTTTTCAGAATTTCTAGAAATTCAGTTTTCTGTTAATCTAGTACTTTTAAATGGGCAGTCTGAGTGTTGATTTAATTGATAAATGATGACAAGGTGGTTAATGTAAACAATATGAAGGTTTAGAATAAATGAGGGGTCAATAACTTTCCTTTTGATATCGCCATAAGTAGATTTCACCAGAGATCTAACAGATTCCATGCTTTTTCCCAGCTAATATAGCAGTTTCATGTGTTTTTCCCATCTGGAATATTATTCAACCTGGACTATAATAGTCAGTAGCCAGCAACTCCACTTTTTAGATCAGCTGCTTTTTATTTTTAAAGCAGAAAGATTTTATCAAAAAGAATGTCAAAAGCAGTTTTATGTAAATGACAGATCTGTAATTAATTGCAGCATTTGCAAGCAATGTTTTGTACAAGGAATACTGAATATTCAATACTATTTAATTGTTTATTTAAAATAGTTTAATGAGCTTTGCAAAGGCAGGAAAACACTGAAAAATGCAAACTAGAATGATAAAAATCCTTTGGTTATATTTTCTTAGTGGCTGTCAAGAGTCTGTGAATAATATGTTGCATAAGGTTGTCTTTTTCAATATTAGTGGTGACACAGCTTTTCTGAAAACTGCCTTCCTGCTAGTAGTAAGGGCCCAATGCCTCTCTAAAACAGCAGTGGTGCTGGAAGAGGCAGACACATTTATGATGATGGCTGATTATACAGCGTAGAATACATCTATTTAAATGAGAGAGGCCACCTATTGGGGGAGAGAAAAAACATCCTTAGACTTTTTGAGCCTCCTAATCAAGACGATGACTACATAATGCTGAGCAGCAACTTAAGAGAGCTATGTTCTCCAGTTTTTGTGGGTAGACTATTTTAGCAAGATGGTAGCAACTATATCTTTTTGGTTCTGTCCCCTGATTAATCCTGCTATTGTTACCCAGAGTAAGAAATTTCTTGCCAAACACTGCTTTCTTGAGTATTCATGTGCACAGATTGTAAAGAGAGAAAAAGAAAGCAAAAATAATAATAATTCTGTGAGTAGAATTTTAAACCTCACTTAAAGCAAGAATTAGCATCGTCTACTGCATAGTAGAAAAGAATTTTTGAAGCTGATAAAGAGTAAGGACTTAGAACAACAACAAAGATAAACCCACAGCAGAGAAACGTTTAACTCCTATCACCCCACTTGTAAAAGATATTTCCCCATTTGCTTTGCAATTCTGTGTATGCTGTGTTTTTTTGATTCAATATGCAAACTGGGATGAACCCGTGTTACTTGTGACCTCAAATTGGTAGTTTCCCCTTTTTCTGCACTAGTTTTCTTTCTAAAAGGGAGCCATAATGTGCACTTGTCTTTAACTAAAAGGTATATAATTAAATACAACATAATCTGTGAAGCTAATAAAGATCTTGCCGAGGTGGGGGGGGGGGGGGGGGGGAGGGGAAGAAAAAGGAATAGCAGTTGAATAAATCCCATGGTTAGCAACTGCAAGCACTTTAAAGGCAGCTGTAAGGAAGCTGGGCATTATTTTGAAATAGAATGGTTTGTGGTGGGTTTTTTTGTTTTCATGGTTGTGTTTTGTCTTTTTTCTTGTTTTCGTTTTTATTTTGTTTTGTTGTTTTGTTTTTTTTTTTACCTCAAAGGAGTGTTCTCCCACCTCCCATTGATTCCTTGTATCCAAGGGCTATTTGAAGTAAATAGTGATAGAATATTCCAGATCAAACATCTTGCTAAATAGCTCTCTTTCTCAAGAGGTCTTTCATGAAACGTTATGAAAGTGGAATTGCACAGCACTTGTTAATCAGGGTAGCTGATAAACAAATATTCAGCTAAGGGGAGGATTCTTTCAGTGAAATAGACAGCAGGCGACTGATTCTTCGAGAGAGCAAGGAGTGAAGTTATACTGGTGATATGGAACAAAGCAAATCCTCTGTAACAAGCCCTAATTAATTATTTTTGTACATATTAGCATGGCAGGCTGGGGAAAAAAATTTAAGAAAAAAGGGAAAGTGAAGTGAAAAGCAAAAGAGGAATTTGCTCAGCCAAGGCACCTATTTCTTCTAAAGAGATCATGTCAAAGCCAATTTAGATCTCATGGTTTTGATTTGTTAAGAGGAAAGTTTTACAGGTCCAGGCTGCTGGTTTTTACTTGTTTTTATCTTCCAATATAAAGCACATTAATGCTAAGATTAAAATCAACGCAAAATAGAAAATTATTTTTCTTCATGTAATAAAACCATTTAATTACAAATTTATTTAAATCTGAGCCTAAATGTAAACTTTTTCCTACTGAGGATAGGAAAAAGCTGTTTAATTTTACTCCTTCCTACTATCCACTACAGTCTTGTTCTAGGAAGCCATTTTCCATCTCTTTGTCTGTATCGCAAGGTGTTACTGATCTTTATTCCGAAAACATTTGTGAACAGACACTTGGGCTACAGTTCTGTGAAGTGAAAGTTGCAGGCAGATGCACACTGACAACCCCTTCTTTGTTATTTTGTAATGGCTTTTGGATCAAAGAAAGAACAGGAGTAAGTTGGGACATACAGCTGAAGAGTAAGAAGTGGGATCTGGGACAGGAGAGCAAGATACAGTGCAGTATGGGAGCTTATGGTCTGTACCTAGACTGCTCTGTGCCATTTGAATGATGCACAAGAGCATCCTGAACAATCAGGTGTGGGATTCATTTTAGATATTTTGAACAGCAAAAGTATCTTCTGTAAATGGTGCACTCTTATACGTATCTTAAGAAAAGAGTTTTGCAGTCTTCATTTTTCTTTTTTTTGGGGATTTGTGCAAGGTTTCTTTAAGAACTCACATTTCCACCTGCTGATCAGCTGCAAGCCTTCATAACTTCTTTTATTACGTTATTCACAAACTTCTTCTGCAGCATTTGTTCTCTCTCAAAGCGTTATATTCTACAATAGAAAACCAAAAACCCCGTCTCTCTTCTCCACCACTGTGTGATCTGTTCCCTGCATTTAATTTCTAAAAATTGCTGCTACTATATATATATATATATATTTTTTTTTTTTTTTTCTGAGAGGGACGCTGACGTATTTATAGTTCAAACTAAGATTGTACTGACAATCTCCAGGTAGTTTTGAGTGCGACATTGAATAAACCAACTTATAGATCGTAGAATCAGAATAGTTAGGGTGTGAAAGGACCTTAGGGTCATTTAGTTCTAACCCCCCTGCCATGGGCAGGGATGCCTTGCACTAGGCCATGTTGCCCAAGGCTTTTCCAACCTGTCCTGTGAGCATTTACCACTTCTGTGGGCAACCTGTTCCAGTACTGAAGAATCATGATAGCTGAATGAGGAAAATGAGTTGCATTGCTCGTACATCTGAAAAATGAGGAAAAACAGTTTGTTCCCTGAATTACTAAATAGGAACATAGCTGCAAGTTCTAAAAGGGTAAGGTGGTTTCCAGTGTTGTCACAGACTCCTATTTGGTTGTGTCTGGAAATGATGTCATGTACTGACCTGCTAGATTGTGTATGCTTGTACACAATTCTAAACATTATGGTATTATTTCACAGTGGTTTATTAGATCTGCACATTATATGGAGAGTTTATCTCAGAAAAGTTTTCAAAGCTTGGCTTTGTTATAGATCAGAATCTCTTCCCACCTTTAACTCTCAAATACAATTTGTATGATACTTGAAAAATTTCAAGTGGTTACAAAATTGTTGATTTTTATTTATTTATTTATTTTTCAAATATGAACTACCCTAGTGTAAAGCAGTCATTCTTGAATTAGCATACAAAGTAACCTTTCTAAGCTGGAGTATACTGAATAGTTTAAGCTTTTATTAACCTTTAACTTTTTTCTACACCTCTCCCCCCACCCCAGGATGCCTTTGAGATAATGGCTGAAAATTACGAGTTCAAAGAAAATGAAATATTCTGTCTGGAATTTCTGAGGGCAGCTTCTGTGCTGAAATGTCTTCCATTTCCAGTAATCAGAATGAAAGATATACAAGGGTTGCCCTGCATGGGAGACAGAGTCAGAGATGTCATTGAGGTAAAGTACCTCTGAATTATCTGTGAATTGATTCTTTTACAGATCTAGTTTTAGAGGTCACAGAGTGCAGCACTGATATCTGAGTGTATTTACGCAACCTTCTGTGTTTCCTGTAATAACATTATAGTATCTGTGTAACTGAGAACTCAGTGATTTCTGGAAACCTTTTGTAGTAACATAAGGTTCTGTCATGGAACTCCTGCCCTTAGGAATAAAAATAACTAATGAACAAATTAATTAATAATGCAGTACCATCTTGGTATGTAATTTGTAAAGGCTTGCACTGATTTGGTTGCATCAGGTTAACTGTTAATAGTTTTGTTCTTATGACTTCTCCCACTGGCAACATCATTTTGCTCACCTGAATGCTTTATTAGAAATACTATTTTTGCAAAGCTGGTAAATATTTTAGTACTTTAATGTTAAATCCTATGTTGCTATGAGTTATAAGCAGAGCCTTTATTTAGGTGATGGATGAACTTCTACATTTTTACTGGAGCTTTAAGTTTTCCCTGTATTTTTCTTTAGCCTTTTCAGATACCACACTGCACTTCTGTTATTCCAGCAGGCAGCTGATCAGGGGATCTTAGCTGTCTGGAGAGGTCATTGCAGAGTGTTATGATTCACTCTGGCTCCTTTTTTGCCTCACACCACCAGAGCTTCTGAAGTGCTTTTTGTACCTACCACCTGGGGACTGGGAAATCAATTATGATGCCACAGAAAATGTTATGATTTTTTGGGAGGGGGGTGCTATTGGGATTTTTTGTTTGTTTGTTTGGTATTTTTAGGTTTTATCAGAAAGGCTGAAACAACGGTACACTCAAGAAAGAAGAGATCTGTTCTTACAATGATTTTTTAAGAGAACTTAATTCAACAAAATAATGAAATCTAATTTTCTGGACAATTCATTGATAGCTTATGATAAATAACTACTTTCTAGCTGTGAATTTATGAGTAAATAAGTACTGTGAAATATATTCCATGGTCCCAGTTTCCACTTCATCCTTGAGTAAATTTATGAGTAAATAAGTACTGTGAAATTTATTCTTTGCTTCCAATTTCTCCTTCATACTTCAGTAATTGCATTAGGATTTGATCCTAATGGAATAAACCAGTATGTTCATTAAGCGTGCTCTTTATGTTTGTACAGGTTGATATGCCTTTCTTTTAGATTATTTTACTAAGTCTTATTGTAATTTTGATTATATTTTTTTTAATAATGTGTTTAGGAAATTATTGAAGAAGGAGAGAGTTCTAGAGCTAAAGAAGTGTTAAATGATGAACGATACAAGTCATTTAAGGTAAATCTTTTAAAATTTATTGCTGTTGCTTAAAATTTCCCTCCCATTAGTAGAGCTTAGATACAACCATCAGTTTTATTACAAAGGAACGTATAATATCAAGTATAAAGAAAGATGTTGAATAATGAGAAAGGGAAAGAGAGAAACTGAGAGAGTAAGGAATAATGGTGAAATCAGTTGCCTTTCTAATTAATGTGATACATACACAGTTGCTCTTAAGCTTGAACTAAACAATCTCTTTGCTTGGAAACTAACATAATACATACACTTTGCTGTAATGTTTGGTTTATTTCCTCAATTTATTAACATTATAACACTGCACCATCTCATTTGGGCATTAAGAAAATACTAGGTGAAGAAAATGACCCAGATCTATTTTAATTCCCTTTTTTGTGAGGCAAGATGAAGAGGACTGGAGATATTTCTCTGTTAGGGAGATTGTAGGTTCAGAGTCATGATCGTACCTCATACTTACATGTAATTTAAACCAAATAAATACTGCAGTTCCCATTTCTTATATGGTCAGTGAATTCTTCTCTGGAAAAATACATAATGGATTTTTTTTCCCCCAATTTGATCTGCAGTCTTGATCTCTAAGAAGTATCTTGTTTGTGTCTTCAGAAAAAATTGAAACAAAGAGTAAACCAAATAGAACTGATTAATTCTCTCCTTCATTACTCACTTTCACTCCAGCTATTGAAAGGCTCTTCCGTACACTCTGACCTGTAATACAGGCATGAGAGGATGTACAGTGACAGTTGTTGATGCCATCTGTAGTGACAGTCAGAAAAGAGGTGCAGATTCATATGTATAGCAGGATTCAGGAACCAAACTTGCTTATTAATAGTAATATGTATTTAGGATCTGCCATTAAATCTTGCGTTTCAGGATTTAAGAACATTTCTTGGAGATTAGAATAAAAATCTATCAGGGGAAATATTATCTCAAATGTGCTTTATGCTTTGTTTAACATTTCAAATTCCAACAAACTTTTGTGGTTCTCACGTTAGCTCAGCACAGTCTCAACATTTTGGCTAAACTGGCTGTAGCCAGTTTTTCCAAACAATTTTCATGTGTTTCTAAGAAAGCCAAGAAGAATCCCATAATATTGGTGAATTCCTGAATTTTACTGTTTAGCATAATTCTAGTAACTGCTGCAAATTACTCATCATGACTTAAAAGATCACCACTGGTCCCAGTTCTCAAATGAGTGAAATAGATTGCACAGTAGGGTATGACATGATCAGCTTTGCCTCCTTACAGAAGTGGGAGCTGTAGAGAATGAGTTTATATTATTTAATTTCACCAGCTGAAAAAGAGCAATATTTGTATACACAGTTGAAGAAATGGGCTGCCTGCTGCTAACACTGCACTCTGGGCAGTGTCTCTAAATTAACATCTATAAATATACTGAATAATGATGGATTTTCAAATGGAAAGAAAAAAATTATGGGCTTTTTTTTTGACACACACAAACATTTGGACAGTGGCATAAAATCCATTATCTTTAATTCTGTATCCTAATATTAATTACATCTCTTGGAATCATTCTAAACCCAGTAATAGACCCATTTGAAAATCTCTTAGCACTAACAAAAGCATTAAAAGATAACTATCTAAGTATTTAAAAAAACCCACATTCTTTCATAAACACTCATGTTTCAGACAAAGAATAGGTAATTTCATCCATTATATAGGAAATGTGGGATAATTGCTGTTTAATATTACCATTTTTCTCTTTCCTTTATCTTAATTATTTCCAAGGAATTAATCTCTTTAGAAAAACACAAAATAAAGCTAGCATGGCTGGAATCCAGAGACTGCAGATTCAATGGAAAACAGCAGTTATTTATGTCTTACACAGCTACTCATTGAATTCTATAAAAGTACAAAGACGCTATTGACAGCTTTAGTATTGACAAACTGAATGTAAGGAGTGTTCTTTTGGGCAAGCATTAAAGTTTTCCCTCTTGCTTTCATATCACTGTTCATCTGAGATATCGATCCCCTGCATAATGCTTACAACTGTGACATTTTTGCTTTATGTCCTTTCTTAGTGAATAAGTTAGCGTACAAAATTACTTTAGAATAAATGGAATATAACCATACTAAAACTTTAGAAACTTGTACATTTGGGCTTTTTTTTTTATTTTTATTTTTTTTTCCTAGTGACCAAAATAGTGAAATCTGTACTCCAAATAAGACATACAGGAATTTAGCTTGGTTCACATGAGGACTTCAGAATCGTAAGACTATATGCATAGTAAGCAAGCAAACAGAAGTCACAATTTCTGCTTGAAATTGAATTCCAAGTTGAAAACCAGTATTGTGACCTCCAAGCATATATTTTATAGAATGCAGTATAAAAATTGATTAGTTGTCTTTACATACTTACCATCTGTTTCCATGCACCGTTGAGAGCCTCTGCCCAGCGCAGAATTTCAAGAGCCACCGGATTCCCACTGACCTCATCTCTTGGTAGTGCAGCAACACCAACATCACGTGTACAACTACAGAGCTGGTAGAGTGTATAAGACAAAATTGTAACGTCAGTCAAATTAGGAAGATAGTCTTGAGATATCACTTATTCTATAAAGTCTGTGTAAGGGAATCTACCTACTTAACATTAGTTTTTGTATTTTTATTAAGAAATGCATTAAAAAATAAGACTATTATCCTTACCTTAAACCTTAGTTGAAAGTGCATATTAGATAAATCGCACAAATATTCTGGAGCCACTACTGTGCTATTGTTTAAATTTCTCTTTAATGTGAACTGCCCATGCATAAAACCGATCTGTTCAACATAATTTTTTAAAGAAGGGAAGCTGAATCTGTATGTTTGTGTTACACTATTATCTTCAATGTAGGACAAATTCTGCCCAGAATTTTCCCTGTGAAACCTTGCTGTTACCTACTTATTGTTAATTCACTGCTCCTTCAGAAAACAGCACTGAAATGTGTGTTCTTCTACTGGCCTTTAGCAGTTTACTTCAGTCTTTGGAGTGGGAGTGAAGACATCTGAGAAATGGTACAGAATGGGGTTGCGAACTCTGGAAGAGGTAAAAGCTGACAAGACCCTGAAGCTGTCAAAAATGCAGAAAGCAGGTAAAGTGAAAGTTTCATAAAAACTTCTAAGAATTTGATAGCAGATCAGAGGAGGCAGCAAAGTTCACCCATTTTCTTGCTGCGGTGTCTTGAGAATAGTAAATCATTAGGTTTAAATAATACTTGGATTAACAGAGCTCCTAATTAAAAATGGTGTCATTCAAAATATATGATTTTCTTTTTAATTGCTTGCGCAGATATCCAATGAGATCTGCTATTACATACAAAAATTTTAAAGGGTCATTATTGCACAAGTCATGAAGAATTTACATTGGGAAACCAGAACTGCTTTTCAGTGGAGACCTGTCTCCTCTGAGGCAGTGATAAACCAAGTCTTGTAATAAAGAACTTGTAAAATTACTTCCATAATCCTAGCACATCTGAGCTTTAAACTGTTAAGCAAGATCAAATGAATAATATTCCTTCCCGATAGATTTTTTTTTTTGTGTGTGTGTGTGTGTGTGTGTGCTGTTTCCCTAAATAAAGGAATTAATTTAAACAAAGAAATCAGTTACATTAAGGAAAGGAGACTATATAAAATTATATTGAAATCATGTGGGTTTTTTTGGTAATAAACCCGTATGTTTTACATCACCTCAGAATCCCTTGAATCAGCTTGCCTCCATCTATGCTCCTGTGTCCTTTTGGATTTTATATATAAAATCCAAATGTGAAACAAGCTGCAGGACTTTTGGCACTTTTGATACAAGCTCTGTGAACAGACATAAAGATAGCTGGAGTATTTCACGTACCTCTGATCCTTATTATTTTGAGAAGACCCAACTTTTAAGGCAGTACATCAAAAAATGCCATTGATGGGAGCTGATAGGGAAGGCAGAGTAATTTATAAATATTCAGGTTGTCAGCAAGTGAAGCAATTATCTTGATTGCTATGTTATAAATTGTTACTGCTGTCACAATTTTAAACAAATTATAATGTCCTAAAAATTATATAGAAAGACAAAGATGAGGGAAGGAAGAAGCTGTCTCTTACCTGTGATCCCCCACATTCAAGGCAGAAGGCTGACTCCAGGAATGGTGGAAGAAAGGAAGACACTTCTAAAAAGGCTGTATCATAATATATTTCTTTCTGCAACATGCCCTGAAACAAACGTATAGTTTCAGGTTCCAAAACTGAAACCTATAGGTTCAGGTTCAAGATTGAGCATTTCTTAATTCTTGCATAGATAGGGTTTCTTCACCCATGGTACAAGTTGTGTGGTTCAAATTCTTGGTAAAAGTTGGCTATTTCACACAAGGCTTACCTAATACTATATTGATGTTGATAATTCCACAGAGTGATTGTACCTCTTTTGTTTTGATTTCCAGGGTTTCTCTACTATGAGGACCTTGTTAGCTGTGTATCTAAGGCAGAAGCAGATGCAGTAAGCTTGATTGTCAGGAACACTGTGTGTACGTTTCTACCAGATGCTTTAGTCACTATAACTGGTGGTTTCAGGAGGTGAGTGAAAACAAGTAAGGGCATTTGGCTGTTTTATTCAGGTACACAGAAAATAATGTTTCTGTCTTGGAAAAATCAAAGCAGCTTAGTGGGAAAGGTTAAAGAGTTTGTTTTCAATGGCTGTTTTTTGTGTTTTGTTTTTGTTTGTTTGGGGTTTTTTATTGTTTGTTGGTTGGTTGTTGCTGTGATTGTTTTTTTTGTTTTTTTGTTTTGGGTTTCTTTTTCCCCCAAGGCAGGAGAGCAATCCTATGACATTCCCAGGTTCCTGTGTTTTATTACTATGGAGGGTTAGTTTGTCAGAACAAAATCTGTCTAAGAATAACTTGGTGGGAAAATGATGTTTAGATCACGTACTTTACTTGAACATTTTTTTTCTCCTTTAGTGTATCTGAATTCCCAAGGCTGAAAATATTGTCAGGCCATGCATGAAAAAAAGATACAATAGCTTTAAGGCTATTTTTTTTTTTTTTCTTTAAGAGAACTTGGTCACATGAGAGTGAAATGTGCAGAGTTTGTAGTGTTAGAAATATACTTTGCAGTAAACACTGACTAAACTGAATAAAAAGTGCTGACTAAATTGAACATGCACTAATCTTTGTGTAGATCAGGTGATCTCAGAATTTCTTTCCTTGGTGATTTTTGTTCCTAAAACCCAATCTGAAACTGTAGCTCACAGTTTCAATTAACAAATTATTATTTGTTTCTTTCATCATTATGTAAATATTTTAATAAAAGAAGTAGGCAAATTTTGTGAATCAAACAACTTGACTTCATTCTCTCATACTTGTACACTACTAACATAAGAGAAAAAATAACTCATGATTGCTCTGAATTATATATTCATTCCCTAGGACCCAGATTTGTCTTGTTTTGTTATTTGTTTCATAACTCAGAAAAAATAAGCAGTTGATTGTGTTCCTCCTGATTTGACTGGAGATTTGAAAGTCATGAGACTCATAAACCTTACTTACTATGCAGGACAACTGGATGAATTGCAAGGAAGGAATTTGCGATCTACAATCATGGAGATTCAATAGGGTAGAGGTGAACTATAGGAAAGTTACATTCTTTTCTCTAAACTTATCAAACACACACATGGCTGGATATATTTGATGAGTTACTAGACCTTTTCCATTAGATTCCTGGAATTTAATGAAATCAGATATTTTGGTGTTTCTTTTAATCAAAGTTAGGAAGCATAATTAAAATCCAATTAAATAATAGCTATTTTTGAAGCCCTAGCAAACTTGTTCATGGACTTTGGTTTTATTAAGCTTTCACCTTTAGTCTTCTGTATTGCTTCTTGTACTTGTCTTAATGCTAGTGGGAGACTACTGTTTGTGTATTTCTAATTCAGAATGGTGGAAGATTCAAGGGTAAGAAAAAAAAGGCCATAAACAGAAAGTGAAAATCAAATTAGTACTTTGCATTTATGTGGTTGAATAAAAATACCAGACCTACAATTTCTTAGAGTAAGGAATGAAAATTAGGAAAGCTGATGAAATTTGATTGAGGACATACCAATCAACGGGATGTACTGTTATATGAAATTTGTATTGAGGACATACCTTTTCCTCTGACCAGTTACATACAGTTTATTTCCTCTTTCGCTCTAACTTTCTGTAGTTTCAGCTTAGGCCCCAAATTCTTTCTTTTATCACTTGTCAAGGGTCATATTATTGAAGCAGATTTCAACGTCTACTACTTCCTTGAGGCCTTTTCTTTTTGAGTCTTTCATCTTTCTGCTTGTTTTCACAAAACAGTAACTCATAAAACATCTTTAATCAAAAGTCCTTTTCTTCTGGTTTTGGTTGGAAGTTTCAGTAATATTACATTTGGTCAAAAGCAAGTTTCAATTCAGCTCTCTGAATCAATTAAGGAATATAAAGACTTAAAAGTAATTGAAATAAAGTGTTGTGATGACAACCCTCCAGTATCTCCTTAGTTTGAAATCTTCCAGGATCAGAAATTAATAAATTAATGGAATCTGGATGAGTTTATTCTTTGTTACACCCCTACAGAAACACTTAGCTTTCTGCTCATAAAACATACTCCTTGAGTTTTAGTTGGTATAGTTTGATATGTGAGGCTGGGAGAATCATTGTATTTTTCAAAAATATTTTTCTGACACTGATCTGGGTCATTTTGAAGCAGAATTACAACACTGAAATGTATGGAAATACAGAAATAAAACAACTGTATTTATGAAATAAATCATGCCCATATGCTGTGGAATGCATTTTGTTGGTCTATCCAGTGAGGCCTATAAGCTCAACTGTATGGAAGGAATTATTGAGGATACTGATAATGCAATAAAAAGTATATCACGCACAATGTTATCAGACTGAATTTGCCATGCAGTCTGTTTGAATCAGGAATTGGCATGGCATTATTTTTCAATGCTTAGCCTCTCTTATTTTGAATTGCTGAGATTTTAGACTGCTTTTCTTCTTAAAGTTAGTGAGACAAATTCTGAGGTTCAGAGTAACAACTCGTATTGCAAGTTACAAAAGCCACTGAGGGTGAAGTTTCCCTTCCAATGCTGAGATACTGAGGCCCTGGAATGAGGAGAAAACCCCTTTTATTTTAGCATGTGACATCCCTGATTAGTACTGTATCTGCCCCAACTATATCCAAGGCAGGAGTGTAGTTTAGGCTAATGTGTGTTATCACTTTTAAAGAGAGTTAAACTGAGGACCTGATAATTTCTTTTTTATTTATTTATTTATTTATTTTTTATGATTATTATAAATGTAATTTCATTCTATGAAGAGAATTGTTTTTCAATAGTGATAGTATTATCTCATGTTGCATATATTACTGCATTTTACAGAAAATTTGATGCCTATTAGCAATGTGTTAGTGCTACTATTAATAATATTAGCATTTCTACAGGATTGTTATAATGACAAATAGAAAACATCACACTAGGTTTCACGGCAGGGAGTTTTCTCCCTTTTTCCTGTAGCTTCATGTTAGGACGTGGCTTCACAGTGACTTCAAGAAAAGGTTGTCGTGGGCTGAATGACTATCACAACATCCTGCAAGAGTCTGTGTTTTTCCTAATTTGATTTACCTGCTGACATTTGGTTTTGCACAAGGGTTGATCTAGGGTGAGAGCTTCTTGAGAGCATTGTATATTAGACAGATGAAGCATTATATAGTAGATGTACTTTATGGCTTCAATCTCTTTACTGGTTATTCATATCCCAACACATATATTCACAAAACACCATTGACTGAAGGACCTGGAATAAGAATTAAATACAATAATAAGAATAAATCATCACGTTAACTTCATTTCCAGTATGGCTTTCTGTCAGCCTTTCTGTATGCTTTGTCCATATGATTCACAAACGATTTACAAATTAGGTTTCAGTTTTCTTGTGTTCTGTATAGCGCACTCAAATAGTTGTGGTTAGGTCTGCAACAGCAGGATTGTATTGCAATGATATGAGCACAGTTACTATATCATTTATAGGCACTTATTTTTTGGAAGCTACCTAGGCATCCTATTGGTATTACGATTTCAATTCCGACTTACACTTTTGTTAGCTTCTCTCATCTTTGCCTTAAGATAGAATGAAATAGACTAAGGAGACACTTTGGTTTAGATAAGTTTTCATACTGGAGTTCTTAAGAAGGTGTCCAAGTGTCTTGGGTGATGTATCAAGCAGAATAACTAGTACCTATCCTTCGTAGAAGGCTAATTCCTTTATCCTGCATCACTCTTCAGGGAAGTTTTGCCTCAGACTCTCTTATTATTGAATTCAGTTCTGTCATGAGCCTAATTGTAGATTACTGTCTTCTTGCTTGAATTTTATCTTATCTTTTGGAAATAGGGATTTGAGGCTCTGTAACATTCAAAGATAAGGATTGCTATTATAAAAGCAATGAAGAGAGCAAAGGACAGTGTCAGTGTTCTTGTCAGGCAGCACTGTCATGCTTTTTGTGTATTATAGTGTGAAAGTTTTCCCTACTTGCAGTGGCATTTCCTAGAAGGCAAAGGAATGCGTAAAGGAATGACATGGGACAAGACCCTCATCTTTCCTGTTTTATCAAGAAAATTGTTTAAATATACCTTCTTTCAGTTTCAGAGATAAAATAAAATGAAATAGCTCAGAACAAGAAACTCTTCCAGAGATTATTTTACAGACTCAGGCTCATGCACCGACAAATAATTAATGCTATTCTGGCACCTTCGTTTCAAAAATGAGGCTTCTATAAGGTATCTGGTACCTTATTAATTGTACCTTATTCTATAAGGTACAATTAATATGTGTTGACACATACCCATAAATGAGAGAATGTGAGATTGAATATATGAAAAATATTAAGCTTCCCAAGCATTTGGTATATACTCAAGGCTTTGTGGTTTATTTAACAAGCTAGTCATGTGCCTTTGACTGTATTTCTTGATAAATACTGATGAAAAGCTCAATTTGGCCTTTTCATATTGGATGCTTCTAATAAAAGTATTTTTTAGCAGGCTGTAGAGGTTCTACAATGAGGCTAGCACACGTGATGCGACACCAAATCTTTGTTAGGTTCTGAGACATAAATGTATTTGAAGTCCTATTCCCCACATTGTTTTTCCACTTGGATCTAGGATTAAAATCGTGCTAGTCTTGAAACTAGTATCAATTATTTATCAAAGGTTTCTTTTGTTAAGTTTTTAAACAAACTCCTAGGCAGAGGTTCCTTATTCCACTCACATGTTACAGGGTATCTTTGCATTTATACTATTCTTAGATATAGTTATTGCTATCATTTTTTTTTTTCCCTCCTAAATACGAGCTATAACAAGGGAAGATATAAGCTGTACCCAGCTGCTGAAGTTCAAATACTGTAATTTCTTCTTACTTTCTTCCACTGCTGTAATAAGAAGCAATTTTTTTCATCTGCTGTTATTTTGTCAGGGAGAAATATTCTATAAAGGAGCTGCGAGGCAAGCTTCTCACCAAACACTTGAGCTGATACAGTAGTTTGCACACTGTCTA